CACCCCCGAGCAGGGACAGCTCAGGCAGCTTCAGGGTGGGTTCTATTCTGTTTCCTGCCATGTGTAAACGCTCTGCTGTGGGCACTGCTGCTGAGCTGAAGAGGACGGTTTAGTCTCTATAGCCCACGATTTCCCAACCTATGGGTCGGGACCCAAGTATGGGTCACCATTCCATTTCAAAAGGGTCGCCAAGTGTCTCCTGGGTGGCTCTTCCCTCCCTCCCCCCGTTTTTGAGTTGCCTTGGGTCACCAAGTCTTCCTGAATTGTCCAAATGGGTCCCCATCTGGAAAAGGTTGGGAACCGCTGCTACAGCCTATTCAGCTTGAGTCTCCCAGGGGAGCGCTGGTTAGTGCCGGCTGCGGTTGGCTGCCAGCGCTGACACGGGCACAGTCTCCGACAGCGTGCATGTGTCTAGGTAGGTTGCATCTTGCTGAAAGAGTTAACTCCCATGCTGGTATATTAACAAAGCGATTCTTTGCCTCTCCTTCTAGTTTCCCTACGTCACACCAGCCCCGCACGAGCCTGTGAAGACGCTGAGGAGTTTGGTGAATATCCGCAAAGACTCTCTCCGTCTTGTGAGGTACCTTTACTGACCAAACGGTGGTTCTGAAGGCAGAGGGGGAGGCCCACCTACATGGGACGCCTCCTCTTCAGTGCACAGTGCCACTCCCCCGTGTGTTCAGAATGTTTGGGTTCACGCGTGCACGGGGCGGTCAGGCAATCAGCGTTTCCCACCAGCACAAGGAAGGCATCTTTCTCCAGAGGCTGAGTAGGACCGATGCTACGATGTAGGAAGCAGTGACGCTTTGGTCTCACTTGGGAGCATTAACCCAGATGGAAAACATCAGTCGTGTGGCGAAACCTGCAGAGCGATTTCTTTCTGAACTTTTGGGTTAGAAGTTGTTCTTGGTGCAAGGTAGGGATGTAATAGGTTCATGCTGTAGACTACACGCATCCGCCCCCACCTCTGCCAGTACATTTTTTAGCAGGCTGGCCAGCAGCCTGATTCAGTCCTGGCTCCTGCCAGGTCCAGGACCTATCCCCACTTCAGCTCTGTATTCGGAGCCAGGCAGCCTGGCTCAGTTCCAGCTCGCGCCGGGTCTGGGAGCTCAGCCCACCCCACCTCTGGGACAGGGGCTGCTACCACCAGGCTCTGCTGCCTCTGTATCCGTGCAGAGCGACAGGCAGCTGGTCCGCGCGGAGCTAGTTTTTAAACAGGCTTCCCTCGCGGCCCAGCCCCTGCCTAGCACCCTGCACTGCTGCCTCTGATACAGAGGCAGCAGCGTGATGTGGCAGGGGGCTCCTCAGGAGTGGGGCCAGAGCGCACTGGCTGGCTGCCGGCCCCACCCCTGGGGACTATAGAACAGTCAAGTAACCAATAAGAATTAATGAGGTTAATCGACTATTCGGTTAACCGATATTTAACATCCCTAATGCAAGACCCAGGCCAGGGGGGCTGAGTAGTGAAGAAATGAGATTTTTCTTGCTGGCTAAGATACAAAATAGTCTTACTTGAGCGCATGCTTTCAGGTGACCGTATCCTGCATTTGTAGGGAGACAGGCTGGATGGTCTAACCGGACTCTCTCTCACTGCGCTGCAGTTGGCTTGACTGCAGCAATAGCTGGAGTTTGGTCTGTGGATTAAGCCCAGCTGTGGCGTTTGACAGTCCGCTTGCAGCGTGCTCGTTTAATACAGGTATAAAGCCTGGAGGAGGTAGAGGTAGGTCTCAGCGACGGAGTGTTTCATATAGAGCCCTCGGACACTCTGTCACTTTCTGGAAATGTCTGCCTTCCTGGCAGATTGCCCGTTCCAGGTCCTCGTTGAGCAAGGTTTGGGTGCCTTGGTATATACTGTATGCAGTGTAGTGGTAGCTGCTGGGAACTTGAATTTATTACTCTGGTAGGGTATGTCTACACTACCCCCCTAGTTCGAACTAGGGGGGGTAATGTAGTCATACGGAGTTGCAAATGAAGCCCGGGATTTGAATTTCCCGGGCTTCATTTGCATGAAGCCGGCCGGCGCCATTTTTAAATGCCGGCTAGTTCGGACTGCGTGCCGCGCGGCTACACGCGGCACGGACTAGCTAGTTTGGATTAGGCTTCACCTCGCCCACCTTGCCCCTCTCGGTAGAAAGGGGTAAGACGAACGCAAACTGCTCTTGAAACTGATCAACATGTTTCTTTCCAAACTCTGGTTTGTCTCTTTGGTCAAAAACCGGAAAGGGGTAGTCTTAGAATGAGCTGGAGAGGTGGAGGAGGAAGAAGCGCCCACGCAGGTAGTGATCTTTTGTAAACGTCCATGTTCTGAAGATAGCTTGGCTCTTCCAGCCACAGGGTCTGTCTGTGTGCATCGGACCGGCACTCGCTGTGGAAACAGGGCATAGCCTCTCGGGAGCACGTCTGCACTGCTGAGTCCTGCAGCTGCGAAAGACCCTGCTGCTAATGCAGGAATCAGATGCTAATTTTAGCTGTGTCGCTGGCTGCTGATGGACAAGTCTCCTCCCTGCTTTGCGACAGACTTTCCCTATCTCTCGAGAGGGGAGAATGAGCCCGGCCTGCCTTCCTGGGGAGTAGAGGTTGCGTCTGTTCCTCAGAGGCTTTGTGGTGTGCAGTGAGGAGCCCGTGTGGATGCTGGTGGTAGGTAGTGTTATCTGCTTTCCAGAGCTGGCGTCCCATGCGGCAGCCGGTCTCACCAGGGCTGGGTGAGTGCCAGCGCATGGTCAGCACCGCGCCATTTTCTTTCCTCGTGAGTGGTCGCTTTCGGCGTACTAGTGCCCCAGGTGCTTCAGGAATCACCCAGTAAATGGCCCTGCGCGCAAGGCGAGCGGCCTCTCTCCCGAGGGAACGGTCTCCGTTTGTGTGGTGCTGCCCACTGGACTTGCGAGAGCCCCTCAGGGCCTTCTTTGTGATCCCGAACAGGGACCAACAGCTGGTTCCTCTGCTCTGGAGAGTCTCCTCTTCTCTCTCCTGGACCTGTGACGTGCGGTTGAATTTGGCTCACTTTGGGGTGCGATGTGACTAAAACTCCCACCAGCTCTTGGGTGTTCCCTGGCTCCCGATTGTTAGCTGGATTGTGACCCGTCAGGGTGTGGAGAGGTTCCTTCTAGATGACAGGTCAGAGCCTTGAGGAGGGTTTGAGGAAACTTCTGTCCAGCTCCTGGCCCTGTGTGGCTGGTGGGCAAAGCTCTC